ATGTCGTGCAGAGTGATGACAAATGAGCGAAGCATTCCTCGTAATCATAGCTTTATCTCTCCAAGCCACTGCAAAACGGCTGCACAATGCAAGCCCTCAAAGCCGGAGAGGAAACAGCGCACGAACATCTTCTGGCCATACACCTGACCCGATCCGACTCTTAGCAACGCTTCGAATACTGGAGCCATCTCGCGTACACGCAATTCTTTACAGATCATGCGACATACACACCTAAACCTTCAAAATTGTCATTTGATGGCTCACGCAAAGCTTAACAAAATTTATTCAGGCCATTTCGGTGACTACATCAAATTAAATGACATTTCGTTCTCCATGATCATATCCCCTCCAAACAGCGCCTCTTCAGCTTATCTCTACGTGAGTTTACCAGCCTACATTACTAGGACTGCATATACACCATTCGTACCAAGTCAACCAAACACGTTCGACGTAAATCAACATAGGTCATCGAAGTTATTTGTTGTCGCCTAGGAATGAGAAGCATCCTCGCCCACCAGTCATGCTCTTCTTTCATGGCTGACAGTAGCCGTGTCTAATGGCAGAACTGATTTGAAAAAAACCGCAATGCCAGTGTTAACTTCGGTAAGAGAACGGTGTTGATATTTATGGGGCCACAGTAACGTATCCGGGAAATTATGTGGTGCTGATCGAAAAAGGGCATTCGGATAAAAGTTAGCAAAAGGAAACACCGAATCATGGCTCACGTCTCAATGTAATACAATGTCATTGAGACCAATATTGCAAAGTATTTGGTTTTAGTTTCAGCTCAGAAGTGTGTGAATGACATGGTGTGGAACGGCAGATCAATCTACAAAATCCGGCAATGGCGCACAATGTGTTTCCCTCGACCGAGCAACACTCCATGCTTTCATGCTAACTCCCTCCTTGTTGGAAAACATGCCTAAAACAAAACAAGCCCGTGAAGGTAGTTGTGGCCCGGCATAGCAGATCCGGGGTGGAGCGCTCAGCTTCATGAAAAGTTCCCGGTGGTCGAAGAAGACTGTTCTGGGCACCATGCGCACGGAACGAACATATCAGCTACTTATGGGGACCTGGCGTGTGACGTCATTCGTTGGCATCCTAACTTTATATGTCCAAGCCGAGCCATTCATCCTGCACGTGCCGAGCAGCTTATCAGCTGTGTCCATCACACATTGTGGTGCAGTTTGCTAGTATTGAGTCAATGCCTGATCTGGAAACGTCCATAGAATGAGCCGTAAAATGCACGGCTCGCTTAAGTCACGTACGGGACCTTGCAGTTCTTTATGTTCACCTGACGTCCGTTCGGTTGCACCACGGCCCAGTTCAGTCCAATTTTGTCTATCCAAGTCGGGTACCTTTGTCCCACTCCCCTGCTCATTTGTCTTGTTCCGGTCCGGTCTGGTCTGTTTGCAAATATGTTTCAATTTCAATACAATCCCAGCGCAGTCCCTTCAGGTCCAGTTTGCTGGAGCCAACCCCGGTGTGGTCCGGCCAAGTCTGTCCATGCCCGTTTCACACGTATCCCGTCATCTACATCAGCTGTTTTGCTCCAGTTCATGCATGATTTTTGCTATCCTATCCAGCACGCTGTCTGCATTCATTTCCAGTTCATTTCAACCTAGTGCAGTCCGTTCAGATCAGGTCCAGCTCAGCCTAGGCAGGGCTGTTCCGATCCTGAATTGGTTGCTTTGTTCCTCTTCCGCCCCATTCGAACCGATCCGAACTGGAACGAACCGGCCAGCCCACTTCCCACTTCCCAGTCCCACTTCAAGGCGAGCAAGCGACTGGTGCTCATACAAGTGCTCATAATCCATAGTGTCAGCCAGGAATTTCACCCAAATCTCCCACGTTGAAGGCTCCGAACCGATATATTTCGCAAACTCGGTATTTTGTTATTTTGACACAAATTGATATTTCGGTACCGCCGCCCCAGTACCAGCCTCATGTGACCTTTGTAGCCGCAGTCCGATGCATTCTGATATTATCCGGCCCCCTCCGTTCTTTTTCGGCCCGGTCCTGAAGATATGTTGATGCGAGCGCGTTACACCTCCCTGCAGGCTTCGTGTGTTTTGCATGCATTTGGCATATCTGGGACGCCAACCAAAGCTCTTGACAGTGATCATGAATGCAAAGATCGTTTCGCCCGTGAATAATCACTCGCTGGGATGGTTTCAGCTCTTTTGAAAACGCAGCCATTGTTTCACATTCCAGTGACGCCATCAACATTACAAAATACAAGATAAAGAAGCACATTCGCTGGGCATTGACGTCACCATCAATTGTCACGCTTATATACGAACCATACTTCCCTGAGAAGATGTGCGGCACCTGTCAACAGCCCTAGCGGTGCGAAAAGACGGCTTCGGAACCGACGCCGCGATTTCTAATGAAGACAGCGTATAACTGCATTTAAGACAACGAAGCATCATTTTCCGAAACAACATCCTTCAAATAAGTTATGGTCCAGCTTTCAAGAGAATCCTATGATTGGTACCTGTTGTTTTGGATACCTGAAAAGTGAGTGGTCTACTCGAAGAGCACCGGGTGTCTGCAGCACGCGATATCCCCTGGTTCCTGGCTGAGGTTTGGCAAAATTAGGTCAGAATGAATAATATTGCACTTCCTGCTTAGAAATGACAATGGCAAACTGCTGATTTGCAACAAAAAAAAAACAGCTTTATACCAAGTGCTTGTGCTGTTCATTTTAGCGTTCTGAAATAGCCTGCTCATTAGTCTGGAGCGAGCCGTGTTTCATCACGCTACCATTTAATTTACGCTCCGAGGCTCACTGACGCGACATTATTAGAAATGATCGGCTCACGATCCAGCTCATGAAATTGATAAATAATGAGGTTCATCCCATCGCTCAAGCAGCATTTTTCAAAACGAGCCGGCTCACCTCGCGGCTTATCCTACGATTGGCTCGTGCACATGTGTCGATCTGTGTTCTTTTGGGTGGACCAGTGTCCCCCCACCCCCCAATGTCCGATTTGGCTGTGCCCAACGGTGGGTTTGCCCTCCCCCAAACCTTTGGAGCTAAAGTGCAAGCGGGACATTAAAAATTGGAAATAAAAATGATATCAATGTTATAGGCTTTTAATGATTGCTTCAGGGGCAAAAGGAACAAAGGAACGAGTAAAATAAAAACTGTGAAGTCCTGTTCAGTTGAATGCAGTTGACTTATCTAGTCGCACTGCAAATGCTCCGCGTTCGTGCCGTATTTGGTTGGGTATTTTGTTTTTTCTGGCATGATGTATGCTTTTAACCGAACGATTGAGTTTTACCTCTGATATAGTTTGATGCTATTGTCTGAGTGTTTAGTCACCATTCAGTGATGCTTATACATACACAAACCGCACCAAGTTGCGATATTTTGCCGCGATGCGATACGGTACCTTATGGGAAATAGAAAATAAACCGGTCAAATATTGTAACCCCAAAGCGTGAACAAATCTTTGACCCCCAACGTTCGAAAAAACCCTTGAAATATGCCGGCCTTAAATTCGACATGAACATTCGACAGAAGTTACGAAAACTTGGGGATCGACAACAGCCATTTGAACCGATAGCGGCGGCTGCACGACAGTGACTACCAAAACAGCCGCATCAAACATGACTAACGCAAGTGCTGCGCTGAAGTCCGCAGGCCGCCTCGCGGCTGCCAGCCAAGGGTTTCCGTGGCAGCACTGAATAGTTGCACACATAAACGTACCGTCCTCATTCCTAAAGCCGCACACGTTCAACAACGTCTGAAGTCACATAGCATCGACCCTGCGTCGATCACCGAAACCTGGTTTCGACAATCGACGCCAAACTAAAATGATAATGATGCCCAACGGCAACATCTTCCGCCAAGACAGGGCAAGGAAACGTACCAGGGCAATGCCATAGTTTCGGATGGCGGGTGGTTTATTCGGGTGCGGGTTTGCAAACGCCGTATAAAGATGCGGGCTCGGGTTTAAACACCTTATACAACGATTCGGGTACGGGTGGTGATAGCTTATGGCGGTTAGGGATGATCAGCACGACAAGTGCTAATAAGAAGGATGATTAGGATGATCGAGGCGTGACCTACGTAGGATGTATCATTTGAACTGCATGGAGAAAACGTGATGTTGGTTCAGTCATTTAAACAGGCGCCGACTGCAGTGTAGCGTGGTACGTCCTTGGGGAACAGCGCGACTTACGTTAGAGTTACGAGTTCTCCGAACCCCAAGCGCGTAATGCATGCACCATCCACTATTGCACAATAATATGCCAGCATCGCGGACAGTCTGAGGAAGAGGGAATGTGGCTTAGCTTGGCAAAGGGCTTCATGTGCAATGGAATGTAAACAAAATCAGATTTGGCCTTTTTTATTTCGAGAAGCCTAATTTTGTTCGAAAAATTCAGGGACCGCGTGAACCGAATCCTAAGGATAACTTACAAGTGAACTAGCTCGGTGAAAGGTGCGCTCTAGCCTCGGCGTCGACGTGTGCGGGTTCCAACCCCTCCCCCATGACTTCAGGCGTCAGCCCCCGCCCCTATCCAACTTAAGGAAGAAAATGGGGAAATACAGGAGAAAAATCTGTTTGCTGGCACATTTGGGCTGCAGGTTGGGCCACTTTTCACTATTCCCCCCCACCCCCCTCAACTTATTTTGCCAAACTACGCATCTGGTCCAGATGTCTGGAAAGTTACGAAAGAGTTACGGAAGTCCAATGGAAAGTTACGCCATTCCACATGCGCACATGACTCATGGAGAATCGAGGCGACCCTGATCCGTACCATAATACGCAGGCGCTTCCCGCAAGCTTCGGGGATCGTCGGGGATTTCCCAGGCAGTTGCGTCACCGAGCGGCTCGAGACGACGCAGAGCGCTCACTTCACTCAGTTGGCGGTGTCCGTCGGGGCGGGTGGTACTGCGCGTTAACGTCTCACGCAAGTACAAACGCAGGACAGTTGGTACGCATTAGACACGTAAGTGTTCGCCTCGAGCTCAGCAGCGCAAAGCATTTTGGCATGAGGGAACATGGTGGTGGGAGTCCTACATAAGCGTGGTGAAGAACATCAAAATTTGTCGGAATGACGCCTTGGCAACTGTGGACACTGCGTCCTCACGATCAGCTGGCCGACACAGATAGAAATGCAAGCAGCGAAGCCCTCAAGTTGCATAAGGGTGGCCGAGTTAAACATTTGTGCATAGGCCAAACGAAACAGTGCCGTGGCTATTAGCAAATATTTATGTTGACAAATGGGCGCGGTCGACACGCACATGACCACGGTCGTGGAAATACCCTTTAACGACACGACTGTGGTGGCAGACAGACACACACGCGCCATGCGAGCCTATCAGTACGTTGATTGATTGGCGCACCTACGGAGGAAGGAGTGTGAACAGGAGTGGCTGAGCGTGGGTGAACTAAATAACCACTACCTGCCTGGGAAAATAGACCGTATCATCTACGCGTTGCTACGCAGTACGCGGCTGGAGCTGGCGTCGAGAAGTCCTATGCGGTATTTACGTGCTGCAATTGCCTCTCCTGCGTCAAGCTACGAACTTTGTGTAGATGTTGCGTAGATCTCGCTTGTGGGAGTTTTGATGACGTCATGTGCATTGGATTGCCGTTTTGATATGATTTCTAAGTCAATGCTCGAACATTAGTTCTGTCTCACTAGAACGAGGAATAAATAACTTGCATTCAAGTCAGTAGCAGGAAGAATATGTACATAACACATGATTGGATTCAATTATGCTCAAGATGAGCTCATAACTGCCATAACGGCATTTCCACCGTATTGCACATGGACCAGCTGAATGGCTGCAAAAGTGGGGTACTGAATATAACGGATGAAACGATTCCAGACTGGAAATGATACGGGTGACGGCAGACATATCCGGAAAATGAGCGAAATCACGGGATCAGTTTCGTCGCACATGGATCATAAATCCGAGCGGTCAGAACTCGTTGCACATTTGGTACCAATTTTGGTGGCTTAGAGGGTCAATGCTGCAAGTGATCCTAATTGCAGAAGTACTTTTAGGAAGCATATGATCGAAAGCAAACAACTGGTATGAAAACCTGCACAATTTGACCTGGCCTGAGTTCAGTGCATAAGGGAGTGAGGTTCAACGGTCGGCACATGTAGCGTTGCGAGCACATGGTCTAAGCGCCTCACACGGGAAGGATTTTTTTGTGGGTTTGTGCATGAATCAATGTTTACATTTTAAGTTCAGCGAAGACCAAGACCTAAAAATAAAGAGCCCAAAATTGTGTGTTCCACCAAAGGGGGCATTTTGTGACAGGGTAAATTGGATTTTCAGTGTAAGTTTTGTAGATAAGCCCCTCCTCTGCACATTCTTGCAAATATGCCCTTGCAGAGACAAACCTCCATACTTTGCAACTATCAGCCAGTGGTGGTTAGCCATGACTGACACATGCATTAGGCAGTAGATTGTTTGTCTTGGCATGTTTGTCTTAGTGGCAGAAAATTATGAGCTAGTATTTTCCTTGATTTGTCATGAGCTTGATGTGCCAGAAAAGTTTCATCATAAAACAGTATTTGTTTCCCTAAAATTCAAGCTGTATCACAGTTACTGGAATTCATAATGGTGGAAATGTTTTGGTTTTAGGTTGTGATGGGCTTGCTGTATGAAACTGTAGACATGTGATATCAAGCCTGATTCCATAACTATGGAGCCTTGTTCTTAGCCTGGCCGGACTGTCTGTGTACCTGGATCTCCCTGCAGTTTTACATTGTTGATTAGAGGTTTGCATGGTTGGTCATTCAAGTGTATATTATCAGCAAGTTAAATATTTGTGGTAAGGTATTTGTGCCTTGGTTTTTAAAGTTGCATATTCTGGTATTTGTGAATATTGTCATGAATTATATCAAGCAGATATTCAATGTATCAAACTTTCACAACTGCCAAAATGGTGTCATAACTTTGTTTAGTTATATCCCACAGTCAGTTTCTGATACCTATGTAAAGTTAAGTGACAATATTTCAATGTTTTAAATCTTGGCTACCACTTCACATTGTGGACTAATATCAATGCTTTATGTTGGTTTCAGACAAGTGGTGCATCAAAGGGAAAAGAAACACCACACACCACAGCCAGAAGCAAGCCTGTTGCATGCTGCAGTCTGGTAGAGTAACTGAGACTGCCAGAATGGAGACTTTCTCTGGAGGTTCAGCAAGAACACCAACATCTCAGATTGAACTTACCCTGTCATGCAGGTAAGGCATGTAACAGTTACAGTGTTTCCATATTTGCCCCCTGAGGTAGCATGGATGTCAATATTTGGCATGCTTTTACATCCCCAGCTTGGGGCTCGCTGCCTGTGGCCCCTCACCTTGCCCAAAATTGACTAATCAGCTTCTAACCAGGCAGGGGTCATGCCAACACCTAAGCTTCTCAGGCTTGACAGTTGGACTGGGCAGGTCAGATGTCTGGATTGAGTGTCAAAGGGCAACAGGTGACCACCAACAAGTTCAGTGTGGAAGCTGCAGGAAAGCCAGGATTCAAGTACATTAATTTATATTTGCATCATGGATAACATGCTGGATGTGTTTTGAAATGCTGAATGGTTGTTCCATGCATGTTATGACACATGCATCTGCTCCAGGGACAAGCAGCAATGGGCTCAGCTAAGCTGTCTAAACTGTAAACTAAGATGAAGGTTTCAAATATGCTGTTATTTGCTTGTTTTGAGTGATTTTTGGATATTTTGGGCATGTTGACTATAGGGGTCATTTTGCTGCTTCTATTTTGCTATTCACTATCTTTTTGCTGCTAGTTGCTCATTTAGTTTGTGTGAAATTCACATGACTGCATCTTATTCATAAGTGCATAGGTGTCATGGCCTTCCATAAGTGTGAAGGTGGGCCATTGTAAATTTGAGTTTGGACCCAAATGTCTGGTTTACATCTTCTGAAACAGATTCTGTCTGTCGGGTGCCCATACTGTTAGGGCAGTGTTCTAGTGATGATCCTGGTTTCAAATGTCCTCACTATCTGCAGGAACCTGGCTGATATGGATGTGTTCTCCAAGTCTGATCCATTCATAGTGGTCTATGTGGCATCCGGCGGCAGCGACGCATGGCAGGAGTACAAGCGCACAGAGATCATCTACGACAACCTCAACCCCGACTTCGCTACAAAGGTCGTCGTGACGTATCATTTTGAAGAGCAGCAGCGCTTGAGGTGTGATGATGTTGACTTCTGTGAAGGTTTTTCCTCTGTGTTTTGTGGGGAATGTTGCCCGCTTGCCATAGTCCTTAGACGTCTGTAGATGCTTGTCCATTTATGCACACGCATCCGCAGACGTCTAAGTCGCAGTCGCACAGTCGCAGCAGGACTGCGTTCATCACGCAGACTGCCTATGTAACTCGCCCAATGGCCACAGTATTCGCAAGGGTGTCTGCCAATGCTGTGAACTCTGAGCTGTCCGTAGAGCCCGATCGACTGCAATCCGGGCTCTTTTGGTCCGCGGCGTCCTGAAAGTGCTGACGTCTTCCAGCTGTCCACGCGCGCCCTGTCTTCCTCACGTGCACCGTCTGCCGGCAGGTTCGATGTGTACGACGTGGACGCGCCGTCGCCGGAACTCAGCCGCCACGACTTCCTGGGGCGGTGCCAGTGCACGCTCGGTGAGCTGGTGAGCCAGCGGTCGTCACAACTGAAGCTGCTGGGCGGGCCCGGCGGCCTCGGCACGCTGCTCGTGCACGCCGAGGAACTGATCTCCAGCAAAGAGCACGCGCACTTGCAGTTCCACGCCATCAAGCTGGACAAGAAGGACTGGTGGGGCAAGTCAGACCCATATGTCGAGTTGTTCAAGTGCACGGAAGAGGGCAAGTGGGTGCTGTCGTGGCGGACAGACGTGAAGAAGCGCACGCTCAATCCCGAATGGGGTACGGTGGTGGTGCCGGTCAGCTCGCTCTGCAACGGCGACCACGAGCGGAACATCCGTGCCGTCTGCTGGGACTGGAACCGCAGTGGCACACCCAGCCTGATCGGCGAGACGCACTTCTCACTCCGCCAGCTGCGGACGACCGGCAGCGGCTGCACGCTGGACCTGATCCATCCAGCGAAACAGGTGAGCAGAGTCGGCCCCACCTCGTCCCGAGGCCGCCTGCCCGCGGGCGGGCCGGCACCTCCCCACGCGCGGCGTTTGCTGCTGCCGTTCGCCGCGAGTTGTGCAATCGGCACGCTCGACAGTACCTCACAGTTTCAGATCTGCTGCGGCCTGTGGCTCGCAGCCAGGCGCCCTGATCTGTGCCGCTTCAGGAGATCTGCTGCGGCCTGTGGCTCGCAGCCAGGCCCCCTGATCTGTGCCGCTTCAGGAGATCTGCTGCGGCCTGTGGCTCGCAGCCGAGAGTGCGCTGACCGCCGGTCGGTGTTGTTGAGTCGTGGCGTCGTGGTTCGCAGGCAAGGGAAGGCCGGCCGTTGGCACCGGTCAGCCTTGGCAGGCACCGGCGGTCTAGCGGCATTCAGTAAGTGATGATGCCTGTGCTGTATGTGCGTCTGCTACCGTGCGATTGGGTATCGGTGAGATTGCTCTAGCTCGCAAGGATCATGCTCGGATCATGATAGATGCACTGGCTGATGGTGGGCAGACGGGAAAATGCGCGCACACACAAACACACGAAATGGACAAGTTAGTGCTTCTCGTGATTAGCTTAAAGTGCAGATGTCGCATGACCGATCAGATGCCGCCGTACTGCACGACCGGAACTGAGACAGTTCCACGACGACTGGCCCGGTACGTCGTACCACCCGCACCGGCCAGCCGCGGGGCCGCGGGGGCTTGGGCACTGCCTGACTCTTGTCGCGCTCGCCAAACGTTTCAGCCAGCCGCACTGTCTGGTGTGGGTGGGTTGGTCAGTCAGTTTGGGAAGGACGGATGGTCTGTGGTGATCCGCTTGCCTGGGTGTACCGTCGGCCGGCCACCTCTCGGCGATAACCGCCCAGGTCTGATCGTGGGTCCGAGCACGCGTCCGTAACCAGTAGCTGTGCCAAGTGAATGCGGCGGTCAAACGTTCTGCGGTCACACGTCAGATGTCGCTGTTCATGCGTACTGTAGCTGAGGTCCGGCCGTGCGCTGCTGTCTGCACGACTGCGGGCCGCTTCACCCCGGCCGCACTGGAAACTGTATTACGCTGGATTGCTTAAGTAGACGCACAGTCTCCGATAGGGCATGTCGGAGACTGTGCAGACGCACAGTCTCCGATAGGGCAGTTGCAACTGTATATTGCACTGGATTGTTTAAGTAGAGGTGCGTCACGAGTCAGGCTGTTTTTCACGTGGGGAACGTGTGGTAGCACTTTGGTTAGAGATCATCAGCCTCGGCTGGTCTCGTGGGCACGCTGGCTTACAGTGTCTCCTTACAAATGACGGACGACCTTTTCATCGGCTTTTAGGCATGTAACGTGTAGTGTTTTATCTGTTTGTGTGGCACAGTTTGTGGCTGTGCCGTCTATAGTAGTGGCAGTACGGGCGTATACATGTTTGGTGATTGCGTCGCGTATATGTCGATGAAATGAACAGGGTAGTTGTTGGGTAACATTTGCTTTATTCTCTACCTTTTTAAATGCACAAGTTCCCATGATTAACAATGTTCAATCGCCCTGTGTACATAAGCTTTTATGGCCGTATCTTTGTGTCTGCCGCGAGAGTGGCTCGAGACGTTCAAGCATCTGCCCTAGTCCGTCGGTTTGCAGTAGACAATGGTCGTAAGGGGTCTGCAGCTATAATCCAAAGACGTGTCAGGAAATCTGCACTTGTTATTTACACTTAGTTGGGTGGTAAATTCTAGCACCGAGGGATGCTCTAGTTGGTTTTTAAGCTGCAGCAGGTGCTGATGTCCATTTACGTATCCAAGGATATCTTCGACCTGGCGGCAAAGATGGTCGTTCCGCGTCCCCACTGTCCAACACTGTTTGCTGGACATGAGCCATGAAAGCCTGGGCGAACAACACACCCAGGAGTGACCTCGTTTCAATACCGTCCACTGGGGAGAGAAGGTGCCCCTGGGGAGCGGGCAAGTGCAAAGGGAGCTTTGCTAGTGCAAAGACGCAACAAAGCTCTCATGACACGTTGGGGATTTTTTTTTGGGGGGGGGGGGCGGGACCATGGTACGCGTTTTTTGTTAGTATGACAATCGTCCTGTTCACAGGGACATTGGTGAACAAATAACACATAAAGTGACGCTAGCAGAGGTGGTCTTATTTTTTTGTTTCTAAAGTTCTCGGAATTTAGGGGGCGAGCAGAATGAGTACGTTTGGAATACAAAAGGTAAATATACTTTGTTCAAATACTTGGCCAAATGATAGATGCGGGAAAAGAATCTGTGAAATCACAGGCCGTAAAATGCAGCATGGTTTGTGTATCTTGTGGCTTCCATTGGAATATCGGGGGAGTATCCACCCGTTGTCTTTGACGACTTGTCACCGACCATGTGCCCACGGGCTGCGCTGGTCACCCATATCCACCCGTTGTCTTGTGGTTTCCATTGGAATATCGGGGGAGTATCCACCCGTTGTCTTTGACGACTTGTCACCGACCATGTGCCCACGGGCTGCGTTGGTCACCCATATCCACCTGTTGTCTTGTGGTTTCCATTGGAATATCGGGGGAGTAGCCACCCGTTGTCTTTGGCGACTGGCCACCGACGACGTGTTTACGGGCTGCGTTGGTCACCCGTATCCACCCGTTGTCTTGTGGTTTCCATTGGAATATCTGGGGAATATCCATCTGTTGTCTTCGGCGACTTGTCACCGACAATGTGCCTACGGGCTGCGTTGGTCACGTCACCGGTCTTCTTTTTTTTAGTTCATCCGCAGAGTTACGCGTGATTGAAAGGAACTTGGTTCGGCCGTTCAGAATGGCTTGATTTTTTGTTAGTAGTCTTGTTTGTCGAATATTACGTCAACAGCAGACTTATCAGCTGTTGACGTCATATTCAACAAATGTCCTCGTTCTGGCTCAGATCCCTTGGCGGCACGTCGCAGACGGGGCGGAAGCGATTTGTTTTCCCGTCCTCTGATCGTTGCGCTCTCTGCCATGAAGAGATTTTGAAACTGACGATCATTGTATGCCTTTTCCTGCTTTTGTTTTTTTTAGCTTTAAAACATCGTGGTAAGTTCCCGTTCTGCTTTCTTTTGCTGCGGTGAAAAGCAGGGCAAACTGGTAGTTCACCCCGAGAGCAAGGACTAGGAAAGGAAAGCTCGTTTTGCATGATCAGCAACAACGAAGCCGCGGCTATTTGAAGGGACCATTATAGATATGAGGTTTGATTTGAAGCACTGGTAGATACCAACCATGCAGAGTTTACTTAAAACTTCCTGGAACGCAGACTGATTTTAGGATGCTGGTAGTCTTCACTCTGTAACGCGTTTTCATGCGCTATGAAAGTCGCAATCCCTCATGGGCGTTACACATACTGGTGACCGCCTATGGTTGCGAGCGCCAGCACCAGGTGGCGGCGGTGCGCTGGCTGCTGACCGCGGTGTGCGGTCGGCCGCAATAGTCCACACGCTGACCACGCCGTTCCGCCGTGTTTCAGAAGAAGAAAGGCTCCCGCTACACGCACTCGGGCCGCCTGGTGGTACGGCTGGAGAGGCTGGAGCATGTGTACAGCTTCCTTGACTACATCCAGGGCGGCACCGAGCTGGCCTGCACCATTGCCATCGACTTCACCGGTGTGTATCAGTGCTCCCACCCCTTCCCAGACTCGTGGTCCTGCTGGGGGACGTGTGGCAGGGTGGACTGTTGCTGCCTGGTCATTGGCACCACGGTGGGATGGCCATCCCTTGTCAGGGCTGGCCGAGCGGCACGTTCCTCCCTATTCGACGCGCCGTATAGCGGGGTAGCCCTTTCGATCACATCATCTGTGTCCGCAGGACCGCGTTGGCACACAGGAATGCACCTCGGGAACCGATGCCGAAGAGAACAGTGCCATGACCGAACCGATTTATTTCCGGATCGGATCTCCTGACAGTCCTTCAACGAACTTGGGATATCGTGATATATTAGGCCAACTTCTCGTTGCCTGCCGGGCTGAAGCTGTCAGGCGGGGACTGCTGGCGGAGCCGCAGAAGAAGCGGCCGCGTCTCAGTCTGTTTGCGCCGCCCGGCATGCCTGTCGCCGCCGGCCACTGACCTGCGCTTACCTCGCTTGTGACCTGGGCTTACCTCGCCTGTGACCCTCGCCGCTGACCGGCGCCTACCTCGCCAATGGCCGGCGCTTACCTCACCGCCGACCGGCGCTTACTTCGCCGCTTGGTTTCAGCATCGAACGGCGAGCCAAAGTCGGAGGACTCGCTGCACAGCCTGACGCGGCGGAATGCGCTCGGCGCGATCAGAAACCCGTACGTGACGGCGCTGCGGGCCGTTGGAGAGATTATCCAGGACTACGACAGCGACAAGCAGTTCCCCGTGCTGGGCTTCGGCGCTCGGCTGCCGCCCGACGGCCGCGTCAGCCACGAGTTCTACGTCAACCTCAATGCGGACAGCCCCTTCTGCCACGGGGTGCAAGGTACGCCGGCCGGAGGTAGCGCTCGTCGCACAGATACGGGCGCGTGACAGCCGCGGTGCGGTCTGCAACGGCCGGCGGACGGGGTGGCTCGCTGTGGCAAGCTGGGACGGCTGCCGAATTTGTCGCTGGTTGACATGCGAAGCACACGTGCATTGTTTGACGTGCGAAGTGTGAACGGCGATCGCACGCGCTGTTTTGGGGGCGCCCCAAGCGAGGCCACTAGCTGGGCGTGTGGAAGCCGTGGAGAGCTTGCGATTGGCCTATATTTATGTCGATGGTGGGCTGTACTAGGCTCCAGCGCGGTCCGTGGTGGCCTAGCCCGGTCGAGATTTTTAACATTGTAACGTTGAGACGAAGCGTGTCCTTGTGGCGACCAGGCCTCAGCAGACGGCGTGCGTCGGGGTGGCCCTGGCGTGCTCTTCCTCTACGGGTCGGTCGCTGGAGCTGTGTGCGCTTGCGACTGTGGGGTCCGTGCCGGTAACTCGAACTGGTTTTGTTCTGTCTCGCCAGGAGTTGTGGACGCCTACGAGCGGTGTCTACCCCAGGTGCAGCTGTTCGGCCCCACCAACTTCGCGCCTGTCATCCGACACGTGGCCAACTTTGCGCGCCAATACCGTGACGGCTCGCAGTACTTCATCCTGCTCATCATCACCGACGGCGTCATCACCGACATGCCGCAGACCAAGCAGGTGAGGCCACGCGCCTGAACCAACGACTTCAGCACGCTGTCCGGTGATACGTTTGCTGGCTAAAACAACATGGTTGGGCTGGTGCGTGAAAATCTCTACTATGTTTAGAACCGTTCAGCTCTATTTGGTGCGGAACACAGCACCCGAAATGCTTGTGCGTAACCTAGGCATGTTAAAGGGAGTGTTTCACACTTGAAGATATTAAGACAAACGTCAGGCATGATGAAAAACACTCACTTATAACTATTGGTACACGTTTAAATGGAAAAGACTGCTATAGACAACACAGTTGGCATGTTAAATAAATATGCTCCTCATTACGTCATTGTTTGATGATGTTATCTTGGAAGACATTGATTGAGAGCTAATTGATGGCCGTTATATCTGGAAGCCGTGGTCACGAAGGCCAGATATGAGTGACTGGACAGTTTATTTTTATTGGCCTTGATCGCTGCATCCCTACTAGAATACCAATATTTCGATGACGTTATTATAGCGTCAAGGATGCCTAAGTAACCTTGAAATAATCTCCGCAAAATAGTCTGCACATCTTGGCCGGCTTGTAGCTCGGAAGTTAGAGGGGTTTAGGTCTTAAGAAGGACAGGACTGTGAACTGCACCGAATGATCTTCATTATAATTTTTTCACTTTGAAATCCCATACAAGTGCGGGCCGCTGCCTTTAAGCGTGCGTTACTAACGTTAAGTGAATGAGAGGTAAACATGCTAGAGAAGTGAGGATACAGCCACCGGATCTTAACCAAATTTTAAATGGACATAGAGGTGACTGCGCGCTTGTCACCGAATGAAGCTGCTTATCATTGCCTGTTGCATACCGTCAAATATGTCATAATTTGGCTAGAAAATGGGCGGAAAGCGCCCGGAATATTTTTCAATTCACGAGATGTAGTTTTTAACTTCGTATGAACGCATAAATGATTTTGCTGGCTCCGACTTAATTCTACGGCCTCTGCAATGTTCCAATTGCAGGATTCTTAGAACTTATCGTATATTGCGTCGTTGAGCATCAAACTCGAAAGAGAAAGCCAGCAGACCTGTTCCGAAACTCACTTTTTGATACGATGCTTGCCAAACAACAATTGGTAAAAATACCAGGTGGTTGTTTCGATATTTGTGAACTCATTTTTGTAGTTCACGGTAGATCCAAGAGATGACAGCAGTGTCCGCACTTAACGCGGAGTATCCCGCTCATAAATCTGACATCGGGCGCGGACGAGAGGGTTTGGTCCAAGCATCCTTGGGAGGAGTAATTGAGTCCACGTTGCAGGCTAGCCGGACGGTTAACCGAATGCCTTTTAAAGGATTATAGCTGAGGGATAATTGATGTGGACAAGCTGCCCCACATTAGTGACATCTCCTGGCTGAGAAACAGATGGTTAATCGCATGGGAGGAGCTTGCGGCGGAAGCAACGCACCCCTGATAATGCTTCACATGTGTTGCGTAGTACATAACGCAGTTGTTTTCTCTGCCGTTCCGTATTCGCGCTTTTCAATGCGTTATATTTTGCGACATGTTGAGTCGATCCAAGGTGGCGCGTGCGGTGTATGGTGAGTTCAGCCGTGAGGTCCACCTTTTACAAACATCCGCGTGGCCTGCGTGACGGTCGCACTACGGTTTTTCGCTCTTGACCCCCTCCCCTCCCCTTCACCGGCAGGCGATCGTGGAGGCCTCATGCCTCCCACTCTCCATCATCATCGTGGGTGTGGGCTCGGCCGACTTCGCTGCTATGGAAGAACTGGACGGCGACGTGGTGCGCCTCTCGTACAACGGCCGCGCCGCTGAGCGCGACATCGTCCAGTTCGTGCCGCTAAACGGGCTGTTGTGTGGTGAGCAGGTCACGCTGCGCGCGCGGCTGGCGCGCGAGGTGCTGGCAGAGATACCGGACCAGTTCCTCGGCTTCATGCGCGCCAACAAGATCACGCCCGGTCCGGCCCGCCAGACGGTGACCCAGCTGCCGCCTGACCCGGCGCTGTTGTAGTGGCGGCGGCGGCGGGCGGTCGCGGGCGGGGCGTGGCCGCTGCGGACGGCCGGGCGGCCGGCAGTCAGGCGGGTCGGGCCGCGGCGGGAGTCGGCCCGGACGCGGACGTGGCGGCTGCGGAGGTCGGTCGGCTCGCGTGCTCGCCGCGTGGGGACGCGCCGAGCAGGGAGGAGGCGTGCTCCGTTAGCAACGGAGCGGAACAGCGCAACTCGCCGTGTCTCAACCCCCAAACTCGCGGCCGGCCCTGACGCTGCCGGGTGCGGCCGCTGCCAATCATTGCGGTGCTACTGGAGGTTGTGAGTCGGCTAGCATGTGCGGGCCGAAGCGCATGTCCTGTGGGGCGTCTTCAGTTGCATTGACTCGGGCTGGGATGAGTTACATTATCATGCCGTTGCTCGCCGAATTGTGTTGCCAGTGAGGGTTTTGTGTGGGACGGATTGATATATATATATATATATGTGTGTGTGTGTGTGTGTGGGTGTCTAATCATGGCTGCTAGATTTGCCGGCTTACAGCCATCACGGGACTTAGTCAGCTCATTATTTGTGTGTAGGGTATTAGTATTTGTCAGTTCTGATAGCTAGGTTGGTAAGAGCGCGTGCCTTCTGATTCATCCATTTGTGGTGGGATGAGTTCGAATGTCGTGAGGCGCTCGATATTTGTCCTCGACGGCATGGCCTGCGGCCGGTGGCAGCGCCCGCGCTGGTAGTTAACGTCATGGGGCATTTGGCGTTTCAGACGATCACGTGGCGATCACAACAAACACGTGAGCGTTGCAGCACGCCTTTCGCGTCGCAATGTTTGGAACAGAGCGTCTGTTCCGTGCTGAACAATGCGGCACGTCTCACTTTCGCCATTATATTCTGCTGTTGATTTCGAATTGCAAGATCGGATGACAGGGGTGAGGGCTCACCTATCAGGCACTGCTTAGTGTGAGATTTGATCCCAGAGATCCGTCCATTCAAAAGGCTCGGCATGAATCTTCAGGTCTTCAGGTCAGGTCATAAATCATAAAGGTCATGGATGGTTTGTGAGGTGGAAGGATACCACACCGGCACTCGAAGAGTACCCGGGCATACGTGCATATATATATATATATATATATATATATATATATATATATATATATCAAACATGGAATGCCCTTGAGTGTATTTTGTATTGGTCGGTGTATTCATGGAATATTTACACCTTCAAGGAAGTGTTTGGTTATTTGGACAACGAATGCGCTGGGATGCTGTCTTTCTCGTGGGGATCTCGTTAAACGCCTTCATACCTGCAAGCAGCATGCTTGCGGATAGAATCGTGCAGAAGATATTGAGGGTCTTATAGGTTTTATGCTTGCCCCACGGCCGCCAGCTTTACGTTCGGGATTTGTTGTCGCTGCTCTGCTGTTATCGTTCTAATATGGACGTTGGAGATTGCGGCGCATTTAATTTGAGGGTTACGTTCGTCGTAGAAAAGGTCAGCTTCTGTAATGCGTGTTGCACGTTTGTGCCAATTTTGTCATGACAAGCCAGTTTAAGCTGGATTGTTGTAGTCATGTGTCGTGTGAGACTGACCGCACCGATCTGCTCCTGGTGTCGTGTAAGATCACGCCATGTTTATTTGGAGATTTTGCAGTTTCACCAGTTTCCTGCCTGTGGTTTAGCTCAACTGAGTGCATTCCCAGTGTTCTGGTGACATGCTGGCGGGGGAAACGAAACGAAACCAAACGAAAAACGAAACCTGGGGCCGCTTGGCCGGTAGCTAACCTCCTCACACGGTTACGCAAAACGAATTATGGCTTGTGTTTATTGTGTGATGAGATGTGCGAGATTCCTTGTCCCGGTTCATGATGATGAAAGGCATGTTGATGTTGTCTATGATTTGGCGAAAGTGCGCTCTAGCAATAATGATATTGTCGTGTTACTTGTACACAGGCAGTTCTCGGCGGGCGTAACCGCGCTACTGCTGAATCACGTCAGAGTTCAACAATAAATACCAACAAATGCACCTGTTTTTTTTTTGCATCCAGCGCGAGGTAAATATGGGCTGTGGATGAGGGTCTGGACTGGACTTCAGAGTATCTGTGCTGCTAAAGAACTGGAAACTGACCACAATGCACTGTGCAACTTACCAGCATGAACTTCGCCCTCGGAACGGGCATGATGATATCCTGCTCTGCTGAATGCCGGGGGCTTAACCTATAACCTATAAGACCTTAACCTATAAGACGCTCTAGTCGAGTATAATAATATTGCATGGGAATAAAGTCACAGTCGAGCCCTACACAGTCGCTGGGCTCGACTGTGACGTCACCCGACACGCGACACTGCGTCAGCGCGTGCCGTCGGCCGAAGAGGCGGGGATGTCGGCACTGGCCTGAGCGGCACCGCGGCCAGCAGTTCAGAAGTCCCATATGCCTCCCCGTTACCTGGATCACCGTGCCAACAGGCCGACAAGCACATATGCCTTCCCGTTACCTGGATCACCGTGCCAACAGGCCGACAAGCACATATGCCTTCCCGTTACCTGGATCACCGTGCCAACAGGCCGACAAGCAGGGGCGCAGCCAGTCTTGGTAAGGGGGTGGGGGAGGCTCGCGGGTAACAAAGGTCCCTACTGACAAAAGCCTCCCGCTTTAAAAACAAACGGATGAGACCCACTTGGTTTAGAAGTGTGCAATTTTCTTCGTTAGATAATTGTCTCATCTTTTTAACTGAAATGAAGGCCAGGAGCCACAGAAGAAGGCAATTCTGTTTGTAATCTGAAGACAACAAACTGAATCAACCATACGTTAAATAAATGCATCGAAAAACCACCAGCGCTGTTAAATTTGCAATGGCTCAGTTTACTTTTCCTAGACCGAAAGCACGGAGATATGTTGGAACTCTTCAGACATTGACTATTGAGGAACCTATTTACTTCCCAGTGAAACTTTGCTGTCTAATGCAGTCTTTTCCACTTAGAAGTATACCAATTGTTATAAGTGAACTTATTTGATTATATCCGATGTTTGCTTCAATATCTTCAAATGAGGAACACTCGCTTCAAGATGGTCAAGCCAGAGGTACGGGGTGCAATTCCCCGCAGCGCCCTGCCTTTCTGCCAGGTTGAGAAACGATGCCGCACACCCTCGGTGGTTGATTGCGTCGAAAAGCGCCTACGACGACGAATCGCTTCCATGTAGTGATAAACCGCGACGTCGCTTCGTTTTTATCCATTAACGCCGAGGACTCAGGCACCTATCAGCCAGTGTCCATCGTTCCAACGGTGGCCAAGATTTCGCAACACGCTGTGTGGGGACCATTTCCGGAGTCCCGGACGAATCGAAACCCGCGGCATAACCAGCGATTGGTGGCGTCTCGATACCGATCCGAATCCATCTAGAGTGTGCTGCGGGTACTAACTTTGATATTATCCCCGGCCAGGCGATGCTAGCAGGCAATATGGTGGCGTGGTACCACCGCTGATGGCGCCCACGACTTCGGAAAAGGAAAGGTAAAATACAGCTAACTTCCCACATGACCAGCCAGGCGATTCCACGTACGCATGGGGAACAGGTCAAACACTCGCCGAACTCCTTCGTCACGCATTCGGGGCTGCTGCTTCGCGCACAGTGTCCTGGCATTGTTTTTCTCTAGCGTGGAGGGGTGACACCGCTATTTACAAGGAGGTGGAAAATCATATCATTGCTGACTTGTTTAACACTACAGAAATGGGTTGAGGCTAACAGCATTTGATTGCTTACTAACTGTTCTCCATTCCCTCTTTTCTCAGGCCCCAATCACCGTCCTGTTGGTCTGGCATTCTGCCCAAGTACCGGCATTTCCTAATTCCAGACTTCCTGACCATCCATTGTCCACTGCAGGCCATATGTTCATAGTGTGATAGTTACTTGTAACCGCTAGCAAAGTTCGTTGCCTTTGAACTGGTATAAAATGCATCTCAGGTGCCAAGTGACCTTAAAGAGCTTCTCTCAGTCTACATGTAGAATACACCACACACCGACGAAACCACATTGCCACGATTTCAATGTAGCAGACGTCTGAGAAGTACTTTGTGGTACGGAATTTACGGGAACTGGGCTGCCAGCAAGTTTTTTAATCCAGGTTGCACCTTGGCAAGGTGCATCCAGTGGGCGCTTCTCATCTGTCCAACAAATCCTGAACTCACATGTGTCGACCTCGGCGCATCATCTTTACCAAAACACTTCCACAACGCAAGTACTGCAGTACGGCATTCATCCCTGATTGGGCGGTGACATTGGGAGGTGGTAACTCGCGGTAGCTTTCCATTACCTCGGTTGCCCACACCAAATGGGCGTTGACTGTATAGTGCATCGCCGGGCTACACTGTGCACGAGTGCGCCATGTACCGCCCGAGGGCGCTGTTGTGACAGACTGACTTCTGCCGCCGCCCGCGGCAGACTGAGCTGAGCGGTGACCGCGGACGGGCGCCGCGCGGTGAGCTCGGCCGGGGCACGTTAAAACTGACACGTGATTTAAAACTGCTACACGTGGATCAAACCATTGTGTATTCGACCGTAGAACCAGAACGTCCATGAACATAACGAATGGCGAGCCATGAAGGGCTGGAATTACAGCATGCAACACAAAACCATGGCCAATTGTTGGATATTCTCGCTAATGAGAATAGCTGCGTTGAACAGGCAGCCATCCATATGAAAATAAGCATACCACAGCCTCCTTTTCTCAGTTGCATGTTTCCATAAACAAACGCACGTGAACCGTCGCCGATTGGTTTCATGGGCAGCGGCAAGCTGGCGACGCCAAAATCCCAGCTGTGCTGCCACCATCGCTGTGAATACTCAGAACTTGAGCTTAAAGCCGATCCCGACACCGTGGTTCTTTCTGCCGTCGGAGCTGAGACCCACACCGAGGCCAGCCCGGCCGTCGCGGCTTCCCCAGACCCGCACGCCGCCCGCCTTGGGATTCCAACTGCCGCTCAGGCCGAGCTTGTTGCCGGCCGCCTGCTGCGCGACTCTCGCCGCCGCCGCGCCGTAG